TGAGAGAATTGATTGGTTGTTTAATGTTTTTAATGTTAGGAACAAGGCCAGATATTAGCTATGCAGTAAATTATTTTAGTAGATTTCAAGATTTGAATTCAGAAGAAGTTTGGATTGGTCTAAAGAGAGTGCTGAGATATTTGAAAGGAACGGTGAAGGTAAGTTTGAAGTATGAAAGGAGAATGAATGAATTGCCATTAAGTTGTTATGTTGATTCAGATTGGGCAGGATACTTGAATGATAGAAAATCAGTGTCAGGGTACATCATTAAAGTTTTTGGTAACACAGTAGCTTGGGCAACAAGGAAGCAAAACTGCGTTGCTTTATCCAGTACTGAGGCAGAATTAGTTGCTTTATGTGCTGCTGTCCAAGATTCATTGTGGTTTAAGCGATTATTATTAGATATGAATTTTGGTTTAACCTATTTTAAAGTTTTTGAAGATAACCAGGGCTGTATAGCATTAATTAAAAATCCTGAAAATAATAAACGTGTAAAACACATTGACATAAAATATAACTTTATATCTGAAAATGTTAAAAATAAAATTATTGTTCTTGAATATATAAATACAAAATATCAGTTGGCAGATTTATTGACAAAAGGTCTACAAAGATTACAGTTTTACAATAATTGTAAACAATTAGGTTTAGATTTGGAAACAAGAGAGGGTTAAGTTTTTTATTTTAGTTTGTATCTTTATGGAGACATAAATGATGGAGATAATTATTTTGTTTATTGTATCAATTGATTTATTTTTATATTGTTTATTGTACTAATGGTCAATGGAATTATTTTTCTTTTATTATTAAATATAGGATACCTAAATCTATAAGAATCGCATTAAGAGAGGGTGTTGTGTGTATAGATCTTAAATCCCTAAACCAAGTATAGAATACTGGTAATGCTCTTCTTATAGAGATGGCGTTAGTTGTGTTATGTCTATGTAAAAATAGAATATGTATGGTTATGTAGAAGGTTGTTTATATTGGTCGAATTATTAATAGTTGATTGTCATTGGTCGTTCGTTGTTAGTAGTAATTAGGTTCGTTCCAACCCAGCCAAAAACCGTACAATGTACGGTCACGGTCATGCGCCATAGGTTAAACGCGTTCCAACCGAGAGATGATCGTTTACCGTACAGTTTCGTTGGCGTTCCAACCAAACCTGGGATCGTTCGAGAACTGGTTTTAGCACCGTCATTTCGATCCCGAGTGGAAAGCAAGAACCGCGTGGACTGATTCATGACTGACATGCGTAATTCAATTTTTGTCACCTGTTTTTGTTGTTCATGTTGTTGTTAAACAACCAATTTCCAATCTAACTTATAAAACTGTAGCATTTTTATTTTTTCAAGTGAAAAAAAGTACAAAATTTATTATCAGCTTTTTGCTAATCCTTGATGTTATCAGCTTGCAAGGATTCAGTTTTAGATTCTTGATAATGAATCAGCGTTGGTGTTCGATTTTCCTTTTTTATATATTATTTTGTAATCCTAATCCTATATTCTTCTATTTTAATTTGCAAACAAACAAATTTAGGGTTAAAGTCTCGGTTAAAGTTATTTGAACTGTCGTCATTACGAAAACGATCATGAAACCGTTCCAACTACCCGTTGTTTCTGTACCAAGATAAAACCGTGCAAGGTCAACGCATGCGCCGGCAATCGATCCTAACAGTTCCGAAACCGTTTCATGACGATACGAAAACGGGGGGTTGGAACGAACCTATTAATAACAAGTCATCAAAAAAGTAATCATCATGTAAAGAATGAGCATTTTCCGTTATAAAAGTATTGTATAAAAAAGATGTTAATAAGAAGAAGTTTTGATGTTGAAAATACTTGTAAATATATGTAAATAAACTGTACAAAGAAACTCCTCGATTATTACTCCAACAAGTCAAGTTCCAGACCGTCCAAAGCCCCAAATAACAACACTGTGCAACACCAAGATACAAATGCAGAACTTGCAAGTCTGACTTTACGTATTACAGAAGCATAAGGCATTTGCAAGTCGCCTGCAAATTTGCGCATGGTGAAACGATCCCGTAAGTCCTTGCAATCGCTTTGACAACTTTGACATTTAAAACCGGTAAATCAGTAGCGTCCAAGCACTTTTTTTCGATAAATATGACGAAATTGCAGATTTTTTCTGTAATTCGCTCGTCCCTGCAAATAAATACCATATGCAAGTCGGCCATATTTGCAGAACTGCAAATTTGCAGATGCAAATATACTGTAATTGGGCCCTTTGTCATTATTTCTGACCATAAGAGTTTGAGTTTCTTGTTAACTTGTAAACTGAAAAGTGCGCGATTGGCGCGTTGGATCATGTTTTTGCAGGAATTTAATTTCCAAATCGAATATTGCAAGGGTTCGGAGAATGTGACAGCTGATGTTCTCTCGCGTTATCCTCCGAGGGAATCTGTATCTATTCAACCTTCCTCATTAGGTGATGTACGGGTAGCTCTAGTGAAATTGACAAAGGACATATTATCACTTGTGAAAAAACATTTCAAGAATATGCGAGATGATCAGTTAAAGGATGTCTGGGCAGGTTAAAAAGTTGACTTTCTAGAAAAGTAAGCAGAATCTCCTAGAATTCTTAGCAACAAGGAGTTTCGAATAAATAAGTGGTATTTTATACACGAGGGACTTTTGTTTAAGAGGGGCGATAATGGTTGTCCAGGTTTTAAGCTTTGTGTACCGGTTTGTCAGGCGCGCGATTTTATTAAAACAGTGCACGAAGCTATAGGACATTTTGGAAGAATTAAAACTTACATGCATCTAAAACAATCTTTTTTTTTGGCCTAGAATGCAGAAACATGTTCGGCAGACTGTTGGCGGATGCGATGTTTGTCAGAAGGGAAAAAGCGGAGAAACTTCCAGGGGATTGTGTAATGCTGTAATGCTGTAATTCCAAATAAACCAGGTGAACTAGTTTGTGTTGACTTAATAGGGCCGTTACCGGAAGGTCGCGGAAAGGTTACTCAGCTGTTGGTCATTGTCGACGGGTTTTCGAAATTTGTTAAAATGTTTGCATTGCGACGGGTAACGACGCGAGCTATTTTAAACAGAATTTTAAATCACTACATTTCAGAGGTGCAAAAACCACAGAGTATCTTGAGTGACAATGGAACTCAATTTACGAGCCATTTATGGGAGAATGAGCTAGAAAGGGTAGGAATTAGGGTGAGGCACACCTCAGTTTATTTTCCACAAGGCAATATGACAGAAAGATATAACAAAGAAGTTGGTAGGTTACTGAGAACATATTGCCATGAACAACATAATTTGTGGCCTAACATGTTATCATGGGTGGAAGAATGTCTGAATTCGGTTATCAATTTGAGCACTGGATTCAGTGCAATCTATCTGCAATACTGTCTTAGGACTGAATGTCTTTTTTCTAAGTATGTGACATTTCCGGTAGAAGGAAAGGTGCCACTTCCGAAAGAAAGGATTTGGGAATTGGCTCGAACTCAAATGTTATCTAAGGCTGAAAACCGTGCAAAAAGGGTTAACGCCACGGTTAAGCCAGTTGTATTCGAAAAAGGGCACCAAGTCCTGGTGAAAACTCATTATCAATCATCCGCCGCAGATAAGACCATTAAAAAGTTTTTTCTGTTGTTTGAAGGACTATATCAAGTTTTGGGGCAGTTAGGTCCAAATTCTTACATCATTGGTGATCTAGACGGTAAAGAATTGTCTGCAATTCTCGATTAGTTGGTGGACTTGTTTTTTAGATTTACTAGAGGTAGGTATGTGAAAACATACATGCCTACAATATGTATTAGATATAGTTACATTTTTTCTTAGTAAATATCTTTTTAAAGAATCATACTGGTTTTGGTTATAGGACATAAATTATATTACCTATTATTTTACAGTGTATGTGCAATTAGTTTAAGAAGTGTTGTGAGTCTAAGAGAAACTTGAGTTTAGGTGTTAGTTTTAGTCAATATTTGTTACCTTAGGTTTTCAGTTGTAAACTTAAATACCTATTTGTATTTTTGCATTTAAGTTGGGGGGTAATGAGGTAGTTTCGAACGCATCCTCGATTGAATGCGTCGAACGCATTCATGATGACAGATGACGGGAGAGGGAAACAGAGGAAACACCTCCTTGCCTCTGACAGAAGTCAGAGGGAGATCGAGGATTATCTATGATCGAGGAGGTTGTCATTCTGGGTGTCAGCCTCCATTCTCGCTCTTGCCTTAAAAATCTTTTTAAGTGTAATATTAAGTATTTTGAGTCTTCTGTTGAGTAGAATAAAATAGCCTAGTAAGGCTGAAGATAATCAGTTGTGTCATTGGAGTTAAACCCCTTCCGCAGACACGGACCGACCTCACGCCCTCGAAAATAAGGGCGAATCATCACAACTTCTTTGCTTCTTCATTTTGTACATTTTATTCTGAAATGTTCACATCCATTTAGGGAGATGTTGGAGTAAAATGAATTGATCTCAGGATTGTTTGGAAAAAATCAAAACATTATTTTGTATATAAATAAAATTGACCTTTAAACTCAATAAAAAACCCACAAGACAGTTTGCAATGAACTGTCGTGACTAAAAGCCAAAATATCAAGATTCTCAAACCCATGTTTTAATCATCAACTCTAAAGCTTAACCGAACTCCAAAATAATTCCCTCATTTTGGGGTGTAACATGATTAAAATTTTCTTTCTTTCTTCCCAAACAAACAAGCAAACAAACTTTTCCGTTTGTTGCGGATGGAACTTTAAATGGAAAATTAATTTGAAGAGCCCACACCCAAGAACAAGGTTTTTTTTTCCTGGCACGAGTTCTAAGCTGTTTGTTACTTTAATTTAAATCTATTTTTATTGTGGTAATAACAAAAAAAATCTATATATACATATTTATCTTCGTCATAGCAGAGGTATTATTTACTCAAAACATATTGAATCATAATAATTACCTTGGCCCTCTTCCAAAAAATATACGTTGAATATTTTTACCTTTAGGCATTATTGGTTTGACTGCCGTTGAACTAACTTGAGCTCTATTTGACAAAATGCTGACATTATCCTACGATCCGATTTTCGGACACAAATCCTATCAACACGTGCCTTATTCGAAATATTATATCACCTATAATATCAGGGGCCAGGTGGATTATTACGAGCCAACAAGAAAAAGTAAATGGTATCCACATTATTGGCCATCTCATTTGATGGCAGATAATCCTAGTGATTTTTCATTAAGACGCTTACGAGTGAGTAATAATTTTTGTTTATTTATTATATGTGTTTTTTATTATTATTATTATTATTTTTTAGCTTCGCAATCATATGTATCGACTTAAGTCAAGTTTGTAAAAGAAAACTAATTTGAAATAAAAATGTTTTGATTGTGAAAAAAATTTGGTTTTAATCAATGTATAATATTTATACAGTGTGTCCACCGTACAAGGTATTTCCTAAGTACGATTCGTAACTTTAGAATGTGATTCCTTACAATATTTTAAGAAAAAAAGTTCCCGTAAGCATGTGTCCGGAAATGCGTAGTTTCTGAGATACAGGGTGTCAAAGTTTCAGAAAAAATCGTTTTTTTAGCTCATTTTCCATTTTTTTTTTTTCAAATTTGGCAGGTCTGTTTGTGATACCGAAAGGTATCTTTTGACTGTAATATAATTGACCTTTTGTTTGGACGCCATATTGCGGTGCGCGAACATAGTTGCCAACAGTAGAAAAAAAATTACCAGCATTCTGTCAACGTTAAAATCCAAAATTAGGCAATTCAAACCATCTGTCAGATAGGGAAATTCAATATGGCGTGGCGGCCAAGCAAGTTTGTTTTGAATGTGTTTTTATGCGTATTTCAAATTATTTTGCTTAGAGTTTTGCTTGCAACTTTGATTTGGACTATTTAATAAAATATTTGTTGACTAGGTACCTAAACTAATAAATCGAACAGATTCTAGATATTTTTTTCTGTTTTTTGGCCCATGTGTGGCCGCCACGCCATCTTGAAAGTCACGTGGTTTGAATTGCCTAATTAGTGAATAAGCCCGGAATTACAGAAGCTCTGCAACACCAAGATATCGGGTCTTCAAAAAAAAAACCAATCAAAGATTGCTATGGGTTTTTAAACGTACCTATGTCTTAGCAATATTTTTCTGTAATTTTGTCAATGAACTTTAACGTCAAAATGTCATGTCAAAAATCCTGACCAATAAAGAAACAATAATGCGACGTACGTTTTCGTAACCAAAGCAATCTTTGATTGGGTTTTTTTTTGAAGACCCGATACAAATGCACAACCTGCAAGTCTGACTTTTCGTATTACAGAAGCAGAATGCATTTGCAAGTCGCCTGCAAATTTGCGCATGGTGAAACGATCTCGTAAGTCCTTGCAATCGCTTTGACAACTTTGACATTTAAAACCGGTAAATCAGTAGCGTCCAAGCACTTTTTTTCGATAAATATGACGAAATTGCAGATTTTTTCTGTAATTCGCTCGTTCCTGCAAATAAATACCATATGCAAGTCGGCCATATTTGCAGAACTGCAAATTTGCAGATGCAAATATACTGTAATTGGGCCCTAAATAACATTTGAAATTTAAATTTGCCGCCTATTGCGAATGTTTTTGAAAATAAAAGCCATCAATTTTAGCTTGTATTGGGCAGAATAGAAATAATAAAATATCTAGTTGACAGCTTGCTAGTAATTTTTGGTTTTCTTGTTTTTGCAACTATGTTCGCGCACCGCAATATGGCGTCGAAACAAAAGGTCAATTTGCTGAATCTGAAAAAAATATCGAAGGTTTTAAAAAATAGTGACGTGCCATTTTTTTTCTACTTTTACCGTTTTTTACTAAACAATTCTGTATATTTTTCTATTTTTTGACCACCCTGTACCTGCTATTCCAAGTTTCAATAGTTTAATATTATTTTTTCAAAAAGCAGAAACTTTTATAGAGAATAATTTTTTTTCGTAAAATTAATAATAAAAAAGTTTCCCATATGCTGCGAACTTAAGTGGACACCCTGTATATAAGCACCTATCAGGTCAAAATATTAACATTAACATAGTCTGGGTGCCATCCCATGTCGGGATAAGTGGCAACGAAAAAGCGGATCAAGCAGCTAAAGAAGCTTTAACCCTGGATCTACCCATACAAGAAATACAACTTCAAGGTGATCTAAAAAAACCAGGGATGTGCATCTACGCGTAAATAAAGATTGTCTACGTCTGGTGTAAACAAAGCGTAGACAATGTAAACTATGTAATCTATGTAGACAACGTGTAAAATATGTAGACAACGCGTAAAGTATACAATTTTTGACAGTTGGCAGGTCTTTAAGGTTATGTTTCTGTTTTTGCTTTGTTTTGTTTTTTGTTTTGTAAAGTTAATTAATCTGCAGATAAATGTCTAATTTGATACAATATTTTAATGTAATGCAAACTTTCGAAAAAATTACTCATATTTCAAATTTTCTGTTGTCTACATTGTCTACATAGTTTACATAGTCTACATGGAAAAAAGTGGATGTAAACAATGAGTAGACAAACCGCGTAAAGTAGATTTCATAGTCTACCCTATCCCTGAAAAGAACCAATGCAAAAGGAATATCTTGACCAAAGGCGATTTCGCCACGTTTTGGTTGGTAGGTAAATTGATTAACCGCCAGGTAGGCTCTTCGTCACAACAATGACGTCACATACCATTTTCAGCCGAAATCGGCCGGTTTGTCAAATGTCACGTGTATGACGTCATAATGATGGTATGCCTGAGAAAATAAAAATAAATAAACTAATTCCGCCAGGAGGCCCACAAACCCTTTGTTTGCTTGTCATAGACACGTGTTTTGGATAGGCTAAGAGTGAAAATTAATTGTGTTTAATTTTAAATATAAACAAAAAATCGGTACTCTTAGACAAGTCGGTACCCAATTTGACATACCAAAATAGATACCAAAGTTATCGTGACGTCATTGTTTTTCGTACCGAAATTGGTTGGTACATTTTTGACCAACCAAAGTAAGTTACCAAAACATGGCGAAATCGTCTAGTGGCAAACTATTTGGAGCCAATCAAATTCCAAGTTGTTATATATTCAGCCCAGAGATATGGGAGATTTGTTGGTTAGAATAGATTTAGGCAATTAGGGAATCCAAACCACGTGACTTTTGCCAACCAGCCGGCATTTTGAAATTTTTATGAGGTTAGAATACGGGTTGTTACATGTCAACGATGTCAGTATTGATAAAGCCTAGTACTCATAACAGCGAAATTCGCTGTTTTTTGATATTACTTCGACAATTTGACGTTTTATGTGTGAATCAAACGTCAAAAAAGAGCGAATTTCGCGGTTATGAGTACTAGGCTTAATCCCGTCAAAATAAAAACATATGTTTTTTGTTTATTATTTGCCAACCAGACGCCATTTGGACAGGTCGTTGGATTGCCTAATTCAATCCATCTGTGAAAACGGAAAATTCAATGTGGCGTGGCGGCCAAGCAAGTTTGTTTTGGATATGTTTTTATGCGTATTTTAAATTATTTTGCATACAGTTTTGCTTACAACTTTGATTTTCATTATTTAATAAAATATTTGTTGACTAGGTACCTGAACTATTAATGGTTCATTTACATTCACTTCAAAGTCCAATTTGTCTTGAAATTGACCTGCTTGCCAAATGGCGACAGTACATATCCATTTACGTTGAAATAAATTTGAAGTTCACTTTAAATTTAGGCGAGCTGCTTACCAAAGGCAAGCAGAAATTTGTAAAATGTCAAATTTTTAGATTATCCATTTGATTTTCATAAAATTATGACGTTTTGACTTGACGTTTTTGTTCTGCAATGTAAATGATAAAATATCAAACGTCAAATTTAACTTGAAATTAGAAGTGAATGTGAATGCTCCTTTATTCCGGCAGAAACTTGATATTAGAGAGTTATTGGACGTGCAATAAGGACAAGCAGTATTTACATTAGCCTTATTTTGACATCTACGCACGCGCATTTGGGTTCGAAAATAACGATTCCCTTAATAAGGTTAGGTACTGCTCGTCTTTATTTGTGTATGCTTAGTGCGAGGCAGTAAACTTTCCTTATTTCAAATATCTGACATTTTGGACGACTTTGACGTTTTACTTTTCGACGATGACGTAATTTTACTTAGAAAATTTATTTTTCACAATAGTTTTCCATTTAACTGTGGGTAACATCAAAAAATAAGTATAAGCAGAAAATCACAATAGTACTTTAAAATACAAGTTTCATAAGACGTCATTTTATCGCACGAGCCCTGAGGCGAGTTTTCTAAAGGGCGAGTGCGATAAAATGTCTTATGAAACGAATATTTTATACTATTTTTTCTATTTTGGTATTGTTTAATTAAAAAAAAAACTTTTCTTGGAAATTTTATTCTCATATTTCCTGATTTCATATGTTTAGGTTGGTAACACTGCATGCCAAATATAGAAATCTTCTATTATTTTTTATCGCGAATGACAGTTCGATGGCCATCAGTCAGCCAGTGTTACCAACCTGCGATACGTAAAAAAGGAGTGTCACAAAGAGCTTCTTTTCGAAACTACTTTTAGTGTCGAAAAGACTTCGATATGACACCAGAATAGAAAAACAAAAATAAACACTTTTTGAGGCTGAAATTTATAAACATAGCTAGCATCTATCAAAATTATGAATACAAAATAAGGTAATACTCTAGCACTTACTACAGTCTTCCAATAACTGTTTTTTTCTTGGTGAAATAGTGCTGATGCACTAATAAATTAAATACTGCGAGGCAGTATTTAATAGTTCCAATAACTCTCTATTTTTTTGTGTTTTTTGGCCTATGTGTGGCCGCCACGCCATCTTGAATGTCACGTGGTTTGAATTACCTAATAAGGGTCCATCCTGCGCAACTGGCCGAATTTGAAGGACTGACATTTTTATCACTTGTCAAATTAGGTGTTGGAGAAATAGGTCATGAACAACTCATAACTCCAAAAATAAGCAGAAATAACAAAAAGAAATTTTTGAAAACACCGCTCTGATAAAAATATATCAGAAAAAGCAGGAAAAATCACCAAAAACAACAATTTGTAACCGACCAAAAGTAAGGTTATGTTGTGAAAAATCTGTCAGATTGAAGTTGTCAACGTAAAAACTAATGGCGTTTCCGATTGGTAGATTTAATGCGCACTGAGTGTATTTTCATCCTTTTTCATCAACCTGTAGAAGAAAAAGACAGAAATAAAAAAAAACTGCACTAGATCTACTAATCGGAAACGGCATTAGTAAAAAGTGATAAAAATGGCGGCTCCCTATGCGTTACCATAAAATCGGATGCGCAGTCGTCTAAGCGCATTATATTTCCCTCACATATCTCTGATTCAGCCAAATCTACTAACTGATAATCTGTTCATTATGAATAGAAGAGATGCCATAATAATTCATAGACTAAGAATAGGTCTCACCCGGGCTACACATTGCTATTTAATGGAAAATGGTGATCCACATTTATGTGAATTCTGCGCTGGAATCCTGACAGTAGATCATATCATCTCTGAGTGCCTTCAATATACCGAAAATAGGAACAACCTGAACATTGGTGCAAACTACGGAGAAAACTTTTCACATACTAAAATTATAAAAATGCTACAGTACGTAAAAGACATTAACATGTATAGCCAGATATAATTTTCTGAATTATGTCTTCTATATTAGTTATAACTATTGTTTTTTTGACGACCTGAAACTCATCCCTAAATTGTAATGCCTATATAAAGGGCATATTTAATTCCTGTAATGTAGAAAGCCTGAGATCCATTTGCGGTTTGTTTTGTTTGATAAAAAGATCCTACTGAATAAATCCCGAAAATTCTGAAAAGTCAAGATTCAAGATCCCGAATACTCAATGCTAAAGATTCTAGAGACCATGAACAGAAGACTTATTCAGTTTATTTATGGTTCAGGACTCAAAAACTCCATAGGCGCCGGAATTTCAAAATTACCATGGGGGCTCGGGCTCCAAAAATTACCAAAAGTAGAATTATTTATACAGAAAGGACTAGACTACTAGACACATAGGCTTAAATGGGATGAGATAGCAATTTCACTGGATCATTGATCGTCTCTGCATAATATTAAAATTTGCATTTTCGGAAGTTCGGCTATATTCGGCTTCGGCAGCACCATTGAAGTAGCCAAGATTTTGTCTTGAGGAGAAATGTTGGCTTTCTACGGTATTTTTGGAGCTTCTAATGGTGGAGGCAAGCGGGGATGCGGCCATTTTCATAAATTTTGATAAGAATTTATAGTAGAACGTTACTTTTATTATAATATCATATATATCAAGGCAAAAACATATATTTTGAAAAAAAAAATAAAATAAAAATTAATAATCTGAACCCATTTAGGAGATATTTGGAATCCCCTTTAGACCGCCATAACAAAAAAATTCAAAACAGCCTTTATTTTTATTTTTTTAAATTTCAAAGCATCCTAGCTGAAAAACGAAGAGCCTGGGAGAAAAGCCTTAAATACAAAACTTGTAGATCTCATTGAGAGCAACAAAAAAGCTTATTAGAGTTATTCCTCCACGGGGAACAGTTTTTGAGAAAATCTACTTCACATTTTTCAATTTTGACGGGTTATATCTCGGAGACAAAAACAACCTAGAATATCAATAAAAAACAATTTTGTAGGTAATTTATTGCTCTTTCGAAGGAAACCTGATTCGAGACAATCTGTTCAAAATTATCAAAGTTATAAGCGAAAAAGTGGCTCCATGTCGGGTCCCCAAAATTTTCCAGGATCAAAATCTGTTTTATTTTTTTCCGGGTTTTGGAAGCGTCGGAGCGAAAAACATCAAGATACATTTTCGACGTATTTTTGGCTGCTCTATCCGGCGGTATTTTTTATTTTTCAGGGCGTGTATACACCATTACACGCCCTTTTCCAAAATCGGGGGAAGAGGAGCTAAAACCCCTCTGGAAGGTCGGAGAGGGGTGAAACTTGCAATATCAACTTTTCTGGTCCCCTTTCAGCCATATTCCGAATTCCATCCGAATCCGCCAAAAAAAATCATATTTAGGGGCCCCCAGGGGGCTTTGCTTTCCAGAAAGGGGCCCCCTGTATTTTTTTTTACGATAAAACTCGTACTCCAATAGATTCGTACCAAATAGGACCATCGGTTCACCAGGGATGCTATTTCTAGTACAATTGTACTAGATCTAGCACAATCACGTTTCACCTAGTACGCTAGTACCTCTCTCATAAATCTAGTACAATTTGGATTACGAGTCGAGTGTCGCACTTCGCTCTGTATCGTACCCGAGTTCTGCGCTCCACTCTCTACTTGTGGGTTGGGTTTCACGTTCCAGTTCCCACTGCGGTGCGGCTAAAGCCAAACAAGAAATTGGCGTTTCGAATATGAGGCAATTTTTGGCAAGGATATTCAAACATAATCTGCTTATGCTGAGTTATGTGATGTGTCAAATGTGTCATACTTCCCTAACTCCCTCTCCATCAAATTCTGGGCCACTATCAGCAGAAAATAGCGATGACGTCACCCGCAGACCTCAATCGAATACTTGCGTTTCAGGCTATGTTAGTGAGTTAATTTTTTCGTCGATTTTAAATGGAGAAAAGGTGATTTTCAATCTGTTCTCACAGAACAAATTAAGTGTTCTTGATCCTCGAGTATCCCAGAATTTGATGGTGGGGAAGTTTTTTATTCTGTGACTTGACGTGTCTCATGTATCGGTGGTTATGCGGTTATTCAGCGGATCATGGTAATCGGTAGGCGATTTATAACTAAATATGTAGAAATTTATTTATTTCTATCATTCAGGTGATTCAGGACCGGTTTCCCAATAGCGAGTCATCTCTAGGTAAGGATAACTCTAGGTAAACATTGCAACTGGATACGTTTTTTACCCTAGAGTTAAAACCATCCCGCAGCTGACTGAGGTGACTCGCTATTCAGGAACCGACCCTAAAACAAGTGATATTTACCCCCATTCAGCAGAGTCTACAATTGTATTCAAATTTCAAAATTTGATGAGCTTTCAGCTAGTACACAATGTTGCCAATCTAGTACAATTATTCCCTACTTTCTGGTACAATTTTTTTAGTGCTGATAGCATCCCTGCGGTTCACCCTCAGCAAATTCTTGAAATTTTTTCCATGATAAACTTCTTAAAAAAGCCAGTGTATTGGTACATCATGATATATATATATTCATGGTTCCGGCGCCTATGAAAAACTCTACAATACTGAAAATTCATGACTTAAGATATTGTATTCGAGACTTAAAATTCTGAAAATTTCTAAACTTATTATTTAATACACAATTATTTATTCATAAAGTTGCCTTTTAAATTATTCCATCAAAGTAAAACCACCCTTAAGATTTATTTTCCTGGTGAGTTGTGAATTATTACAGCAAAACAAAATGCAAATGTAATAATATCCGTTTCGGATAAAACGATTCTTTCGGTTTCGGAAAGTGCTTTTACGCTTAGGTATGTAAAGTGTTGTATTTCAAAACGCTAGATTTATATTTATGTAAATAAACTAAACTCAACTGGAAATAAACAATAGGTAATTTATTTCATAATTTAAAAAAATATAATAATATTTTCATCCTCTAGTCACTTGAAGATCGTACAGATTATTTCTCACCTGCAACAATAATTTTCCCATTTTAATATTTTTAAGCACAAACTTTTCAGATAAATTGCAAAAAGTTTTTAATTTAAATAAACTACGCACTTACTCGAACTTTTCTCAAGTGATGCTCGGTAGGCCACAAATCCAAAAGGTCGTAAGGCAAATAAGGGTATCTGTACCTTCTCAAGGGCCAATACAAGCTCAAAAACTTATCGAAAATGTATCTATGGTGAGTCGAGTAGTTCATTTTGGCCCCGTAAGTTCTGTCGTAATGTAAAAGTAACATGTTTGTTGGATTGTTTAGTTCAAACTGAAGCTATTTGGTAAGAGGTTTGTGTAGTTATTTTAAATGTTTGAGACCATTGCCAATTTACAAATATTATATAAATATACAGTGATTATTGTTTTTTAAACAAAGGCCAGAAAAATTATGTTTTTATTTTTAGTATACAAACACGTGTGTGTGGGTTTTCTTTCAACTAGACAACATATTATGTTATATAGACAACAGATGTACGAAAGTTAAAAGTGGGTTTTAATTGAAAATATTTTGTTTCATTGATTCTAGGGCTGTTCTCGCAGAAATCAAAAACCAGTCAGAGAATTTTTGATTGGTGCAAACCAGTTTTCTGATCGAATCGATTTAAAAGTACATTGTAACACTATCAAAGCAAACTATTTTTATATCGATTTGATGATTCGATTTAAAACATACCTATCGATATTTTGGAAATATCTTATTGAAAATTGAACTATTGAAAATTTTTATCGATACGTTTTCCAACGATTTTGCTGAGAAGAATAGTCAAGCTACACACATTTGGCATTTTCATTTCAAGATTTTTTCATGTTGGCATTTCCCATTGAATCGATATAAAATTCTAGTATGATGAGCTCCATTTCTTCCTCTTTTTACTTAAAAAGGTTTAAAATTTTCCCATCAACAGTTTTTCGGAAAATTATCAAAATGTGAAAATGTGCATGTTTCCTAATTTGTTTTTTTAAAGTTGATTTTCAATATCTTCTCATGATGCCACTTTTCATCGAATCACTTTGAAGTTCCAGTATGATAAGCTCCTTTTCTTCATCTTTCCACTCTAAAAGTTTCAAAATATTCGCATCAACAGTTTTTCGGAAGATGATCAAAATGTGAAAGGGTGCATATTTTTTAATTTGGTTTTTTTAAGTTGCTTTTCAAAATTTTCTTATGTTTCCATTTTTCATCAAATTAATTTGAAGTTCCAGTATGATGAGCGCCTTTTCGTTTTCTCTTCACTCTAGAAGTTTCAAAATATTTTCAATAACAGTTTCTTGAAAAATAATCAAAATGTTAAAGGGTGCATGTTTCTTAAATTGGTTTCTTAAAGTTACTTTTCAAGATTTTTCCCATGTTGCCATTTTTCATCGAATCACTTTGTTGAAATTACAGTATGATGAGCTCCTTTTGCTTTCTCTCTTTAATCCAAAAGTTTCAAAATATTCTAATCAATAGTTTTTCGAAAAATAATCAAAATATGAAAGGGTGCAAGTTTCTTAATTTGGTTTTTCAAAGTTGCCCTTTGAGATTTTCTCATGTTATCATTTTCCATCGAATCACTTTCAATTTCCAGTATGATGAGCTTTTTTCCTCTCTCTTTTTACTCCAGAAGTTTCAAAAGTTTCCCATCAACAGTTTTTCGAAAAATCATCAAAATGTGAAAGGGTGCATGTTTCTTAATTTGCTTTTTTAAAGTTGCTTTTCAAGATTTTCTCATGTTACCATTTTCCATCAAATCACTTTGAAATTCTAGTATGATGAGCTCCTTTTCTTCCTCTTATCACTTCGAAAGTTTCGAAATATTCCCATTAACAATTTTTCGAAAAATGATCAAAATATGAAAAAGTGAAGTAGTTTCAAAATATTTTCATCAACAATTTTTTTAAAAATGATCGAAATGTGAAAGAATGTATATTTCTTAATTTGGTTTTAAAGTTGCTCTTCAAGATTTTCTCATGTTGTCATTTTTCATCGAATCACTTTGAAATTATTCTAGTATGATGAGGTCCTTTTCTTCCTTCTATCACTTCGAAAGTTTCAAAATATTCCCATTTACAGTTTTTCGAAAAATGATCAAAATGTGTCAGGGTGCATATTATTGTTTTTTAATTTGGTTTCTTAAAGTTGCTCTTCAAGATTTTCTCATGTTGCCATTTTTCATCGAATCACTTTGAAATTTCAGTATGATGAGCACCTCTTCTTCCTCTCTTTACTTCAAAAGTTTCAACATATTTTCATCAACAGTTTTTTTAAAAATGATCGAAATCTGAAAGAATGTATATTTCTTAATTTGGTTTTAAAGTTGCTTTTCAAGATTTTCTCATGTTGTCATTTTTCATCGAATCACTTTGAAATTCTAGTATGATGAGTTCCTTTTCTTCCTTCTATCACTTCGAAAGTTTCAAAATATTCCCATTTACAATTTTTCGAAAAATGATCAAAATATGAAAGAATGCATATTATTATGTTAAGTAATTTGGTTTTTTAAAGTTGTTCTTGCAGATTTTCTCATGGTGCCATTTTTCATCGAATCACTTTGAAATTTCAGTATGTTGAGCTTCTTTTCTTCCTCTCTTTACTCCAAAAGTTTCAAAATATTTTCATCAATAGTTTTTTAAAAAATAATCAAAATGTGAAAGACTGCATGTTTCTTAATTTGGTTCTCTAAAGTTGCTTTCCAAGATTTTCTCATCTTGCCATTTTTTATTGAATCACTTTGAAACTTCAGTATGATGAGCTCTTTTCCGTCCTCTCTTCACTGCAAAAGTTTTAAAATTTTCCAATGAACAGTCAATTCAAAAATCAAAATTTCAATCGATTCCAATGATCAATACAGACATCGAAATTTGAATTTGAAATATCGATACAATTCAAGGTTTATCGATATTTTGAAAACATTGTATTGAAATTTGAAAATATTCGGTCCAATATCTGAGAGTTAATTTGCCAATTTTCTAAAATCTTGCTTTAGAAATTGTCTTGTTCGCCTTTCTATTTCATTAGTTTTCTGTCTTTTGCAACTTGATTTTTCAGGATTTTTCTTCATTTGCTTCAAGGAAGGTTTAAGCATATTTTTCCTAGATACAGGTTTTTTGCATTTTGTTTTAATAATTCGTATTTCTCATCCTTGTGCTTTCAGAGGCCAAATTGAATTAGGAATTATTTGATTTTGAGACTCTATAGTTATCTCAAAAACTGCTCTAGATATAAAATTCAAACCTCTATAATCTTATAAACCATTCAATTCTAATTCAAAATCATCAATAATTACACCTTGGAATTTATAAAACTATGTCAGGTATAGACTGAAAATTGTAGAATGGGAAGTTAAATTTACTTTTATCAATGATCAAGTAAGTTAATTTAGATGCCTCAAAAGAATCTTTGATTTTTATTTATCAATAATTTTAATTTTTCGTTATGGTTTAATCAATGATTAATGGATGAAAATAACAAGACAATGCACATGTTCAGGCTAAATACTCATTTATTAGTTCAATGTGTAAGACAATATAACAACATTCAGTGGAGTTTTAATACAAAAATATACTTAAAAGTAAAAATATCACTTTTCCAATAACTGTACGAAGAAAAATAAATTTTACTTGTTACGATTATTAGTTGATTATTGATAAAATTTATTTTTTTGTACAGTATTTCACAGCTGGAACATCTTCGTCAAAGTTTTGTTTTAACTTATCGATCGAAATAGAGATCATTTTTCAGCTGGAAATAAATAAAACAAACTCGTGTTATAAAAACTTGAAACTTTTTGCAATTTTTTTTTCCGAAAATAAAATACGTACCCTGATTTCCCTGAAAGCGGCTTCCGATGGGAAATCGTCCAAATAGTACCGGTACGATCTATTTGACGGCCAGTACTGCGGATATTTCTCCCTAGCTGTCCAAGGCCAATCCACGTAAAAGCTTAGGGGTCGATAGATTTTGTAGTGGTAAAAGAATTTGGCGTCCGGCCATAAAGACCATTCGCATCCTTGAGTTATGGGGTTTCTTAGATAGGTAAGCATTTTTTCTACAAAAAAAAAATTCAAATTCCAACTTCCAATTTCAAACCAAATAAGAATTTAGCCCTGAAGATGGTATTTGGACCATGGTAATTTCAATTTGATTGCCAGTTGACGATGCTTCAAACGTCAACTGTCAAAGGTGCTTTCTGATTCACACACATTCTGATTTGAATTATAATTATCGAAATTTCTTCTAATTTCCATACATAATTTGTATGTATATGAACATTTTTATTTCTATTTGAATTGTGTGAGAAAAAAATGCAGCAGCTGCGAAATATTAGCTTTTTCAATCATTTACACCTTTAGATAATTGGACTGTCCCTAAGGTCGAAAAGATATAATAAATATTAAAAAAATATATATTTGTAAGAAACAGCTTATCCAAAAAAAGAAAAAAAAAAAACAGACAGAAGGAAAATCTCCTTTGAAATATAAAGCAGCTGTGACACAAATCCACCTCAAATGAAAAGTGGCAGGAAAAATATGGAAAATCGTTTTTGAGCCGGAAAGGTCAGGTCAGGAGATATACTAATAATAGGGATGAATTTAATAATAGGAATAATTCAGTTACTTACCTTTTATTATGCAACCGCACAAGAAAAAGTTCCCAACTTCTTCCAATGACCACCACAAGTATTTTGATTTCGCCACACAGTTGACGACGTCGTTTTAAACCGAAATTTTATTTTTTGGACGACATCCAGATTATTTCGAATTAATTTCTGGCTCGGGCCACCAACAGAAAATTATTTTTTGCGCGAAAGTGCATTTTTAAACTGTTTAGGTGTCGTCATGAAAAGGAGGAAAATTACCAAAGAATAATGAAGGAGGCGAAACCTCATTTCAAAGGATTTTGTAGCCTGATTATAATATAAACCCCCCCGAGTTTGTAACCAAAACAACATAATAATTGGGGAAAGAGAGCACTCTGTCCCAAAGTAAATTTAAAATATTCTTGAAGAAATATTTTATATATTTGTATGTTTTTCCCTGAAATTAAAAGCTAATTTTACACATAGGTACACAATACCAAAACATCACAATGATTAATCATTTAGAAGGCGTTCCAAATCATATTTTGGGCGTTCTATTTTTGAAAAAGTGACCACTTGTGTGATGTTTTTGGCCAAACACTTTGCTAATGACTAATACTTTAATATCAATCTAATTTTGTTTAGTATTTCATCGTTGCCAGTAAATATATCTTATATCTGTGACATTTAGGTAAAATTTATATAAATTTGAAATATTTTTTTTCAGTTTATGCGTGAAACCGTTTATATGTTCCATTTACATACGTAGATTAACATGAAATCAGTGTTGCCAGAGGTGGTACCATTTGTTTTGAAAAAGTACGCTGGTACGACATTAGCATATTTGGTACAATTTTCAATTTTTTAATTTTTTTCCAAATTCCCGAAGAGTTTTAGCCTACTGCCTACTTAGTCTAATGTCGATGTTCTAGTTAACTTGTATTTCTGTATCCAAATTCGATATTACAATAATTTTTGATTCGTAAATAGATGGCGTCACCAATCTAACACTTGTTTTGTGGTTTTTGGTTTAGGTTTTCGGCAGAAAATACAGAAAACTCAAAGCCTCGTACTCTAAATCGGTTTTCCTGATCGGAAAAGCGGAAAATCCAAAGAAAAACCATTGGAAAATGACATTCCAAAGCCTACTTGATGAAACTTAAGTTTCTGTTACTTACCCCGTTAAAAGACTCGAAATTTTTGATACAAAATGAAGGAAACTCCAAGCCTCGTACTTTAAATCGATTTTCCCGATCAAAAACAGCCCGGAAAAGTGGAAAATTCGAGGAAAAACTGGATAAAGATGTAAACAGGTCAAATGAAAATAGCCGACTGCATAGGCAACGGAACCATGGGGGCAAGTGAATTTGCTATGGGGGCAGAACCCCCATAGAGATTTTGGTATTAGTGAGTTTAGTAGGTAGGTAATTCTTGGGTAGGTACAGTGATCTATTATAAATGTCACCTGTCCTAACTTTTCCATTTGACGCTATTGACAGAAGAGTCAAATACAAAAGCTTTCAGAAATTGTCAAAAGTTTTCAACTACGTTAGTTTTAAGCATCCTACAGGGTGCGTCAGAAAAGTGTAGCAGAGCTAAGTTATATTTTTCTAAATGGAACAACATGTATATTGTGCAATGACATTGTGCATTAATTTGTTAGTACCTTTCAACCTGATTTCAACAATATACATTTTGTTATGTTTACCTTTAATAGTTATAGGGAAAATCGCGAAAGCCTCTTCATTTCATGTACGTTTTTTTAAATAATAATAACTCAAGAAAACTGATTTTATTTTAACATTTCACCCTCGATTTCACCTTGTAAATTAATGAATAACATTTGAACAATAGACTGTTTATATTAAATAATTCTCTCTAAAGCTATTTAATGGTATCTATAATTTTTCTTTCTTCTCAACATGAAACCTTGGAAGGGGTTTTCACATTTTTCCCTATAACTATTGAAGATAAACATATCAAACCATATATCGTTGAAATCAGTTTGCTAACAAATAAGCGCACAATATACATGAAGTTCAATTTAAAAAAATTTAAGTTCGCTCTGCTACACTTTTTTTACGCACCCTGTATGCATCATACTGCCTTATGGTGTTCCGATTGGTAGATCTAGTGCGGAACTAGTGCATTTTTTTCTATTTCTGTCTTTTTCTTCTACAGGTCGATTAAAAGGATACAAATACACTCAGTGCACACTGAATCTACCAATCGAAAACGCCATAAGTTAAAAACTTTTGACAATTTCTTGAAACTTTTGTATGTGACACTTTTGTCAAAAACGTCAAATGATTAAGTTAGGAGGAGGTGACATTTATAATAGATCACCCTGTAAAAAAATTATGAAAATATTGAGTTCCTAATTATTTATTTTTATGTCAAATTTGTGTGCATTATGTTTTTGTTGTTTTTGCTATACCTACTTTAACAAAGACTTTGAATATTTTGTTGTAGGTATATTTTGGTATTTAAAGCTGTATTTTCAAAAAGTCAGATGATCCAGCGTGACGATCCTGCAGTGAATGTGTATCAGTCAACTGGTCCCATTTAAGCCTATGTGTCTAGTAGCCTACTGGTCTTGTCTGTATAATTTTACCTGTGTTTTTTTTGGAGCCCGAGCCCCCATAGTAATTTTGAAGTTCCGGCGCCTATGGCCGACTGTCAAAAAGGACAAATGATATTAATTACAAGGCCTCCTTGATTGAAGTTAGCGACAAGCGGTGCTGCCACATCAAAAATATTTTAAATGGGATTTTGCTAATTATGGCATTTAAAAATGGAAATTTTTGCTAGAAAATGAAGAAAGCTTAAAGCTTCGTATGTTAAATCGCTTTTTTCCATTAAAAATCCTCGGAAAAATCGAAAATTCGAGGAAAAATTGGTAAAAAATCACAAGAAGTAACTTCAAAATGGCCGACTAAAAGCAATATTGCCACATTATATCTCGGAAAACAAAAATACCATTTTAAATGAGTTTTTTGTTTAAAATTCAATTAAAAATTGTTAAATAATCAATAAATAATTATTATAACAATTAAAATTCCCTAGATAAAGCATCGGAAACTTGTTTTTAGTTTAATTTCAATGAAAATGACATTACAAGGTTTACTTGTTGATTATAGTGAGTAAAGACAAAGACAACGATAAAATAGTATATGTTTGCAAAAACCCCCGTTTTCTGAAAAAAGTAATAATCTTAAGAAAACCCAATAGAAAACCAACATTCCAAAGTCAACTTGATAAAACTAAAGTTTTCGAATATTCCCGGGTCTTTGATTGGGCGCCAAAAATCGCATTTTGAATATTCCCGGTTTTTGATTTGCTCCAAAGTACCGGCTGACCAATAGAATTATAAACTGGGCCCCGTGATTGAAATAACTCCGGCCTTTCGAGCTCTCGTATAACTCCGGCCCTTCGGGCTCGCATATAATTAACAGTTTTCCCGATCGAAACCGGCCTGGAAAAGTGGAAAATTCGAGAAGAAATTGCATAAAAAAACACGAAAATGGCCGACTGTCTAAAATGCCAAATGACATTACATTACCAAACCTACTTAATCAAAAGCGACGTTGCCATAATAACAATCTCAAACATAATGTTTTTCCAGATTTTAGTGAGTACAAAGATGAAGATAAGGTAGAATACATTAGTAAAAAACCAAAAGCGTTTGTAAATGAATAAGATAAAGAGCGAGATAAAGTAGGAAACAATTTAAATGATCAGTTAGTCAAGCCAAACTATCATCAGAGTAAATTTTTGATTGTTCCCGGTTCAAACACTTGGAATAATGACTCAATTTTTTTTGACAACTGACAAGCTTACATACCTACAATATTATGACTTTTGACAATTGACGAGCTAATTTTCAGGACCACCTACGATTCTTATGACTTTTTTTGTCAATTCATAGCCTTGTGATTCAGATTGAGGCCTACAACAGCAACGTTGTCACATTTTAACGGTAATTTTGGAGCATTTGTAATTGTAAATTTAAAACGTTGACAAATGGCAATTGACATCAAGAAACGATTGTTATGATGTTGTAGGCGGATTGAAATTTTTAACTTTTGGCAACACTGAGACGCTAGAGGATTGAAATTGCATTTTTTTTTAAATCTTGAGCTCACAAGGCAACAAAGAAACGCCATTTTGTATCGAGTTTTAAAGGAAACAAGGCCTACTTTGAAACGTCAATTTTTTAACGTTTGTTGTATCATAAGCAGTATTGCCATATGTTTTTTTCAAATCTTCAGCCTGATTAGCCAGTGTGGTTTTAATTACGTTACGAGTCCGAAGGGCCGAGATTATACGAGCCCTAAGGGCCGGAGTTATATGAGTCCATTCATTGTCAACAGTAAATAGTACTGTAATCATGAAATCTGTGTGAATCTAGTGAAATCACATTTACTCTTGGGAAATCAATGTTAATCTGGGAAATCAATGAAA